GATATGCCCTCAGGCAATCTGATAGAGCCAGTTCCTCAACTGAGGGTCCCCGTTCCCAGGCTGATATCAGGCTGACAACCAAGATTGTGTGACAGAGGGATGAGACCTCTTCTGCAGGACTGTTGTCCGTCAGCAGGTGGATGCCAGGCATGGAATGCACGTCAGTCCTGTAGGCTTGCTACTCATCCCAGGTCTGGAGGAACGTTCCAGCCTAGAGCTGCCCACCCCTGCACCAGGCCACTTCCCAGCACCATCCAGGGGCTGTAGATGGATGCTGTGCTGTCCCCAGGGCAAGAAGGGAATGCTCTCGGCACTAAAAACCTCATGAAAGGCTAGCAAGATGGCCCCACGGGTAAAGGCGCTTGCTGCCAAGCTTCACGGTCTGAGTTCAATCCCTGGAACCTACAAGTTGAGAGGAAAGAACCAGTGCCTTCAAGCTGGCCTCTGACCTCCACATGTGCACTATGGCATGCCTGTGTCGTTCCCCATAGAACATACACATAAATAAGTGAGTAAATTGAAGAATAATAAATGAAACCTGACTGATCAAAAGCTTGCATCCGTAAGGAGTGACAGTTCACACCAGGGAGGCATCTGCTAGACAGGGAAACTGTCCCTTCAAGGTACCAGTGAGACTAGGTGTGGTGGCACATATCCATAATCAGGAGGCTGAGGCAGATGGATCACAAGTTGGAGGCCAGTCTGAACTGCATAGTCAATTTAAGGCCAACCTGAGCTACAATAAACCTATCTCAAAAAAAAAAAATCCACAAGCAAAGGAAAATTAACAGCATGAGCCAGTGTCCTAGTACCAACTGGGCACCTCCGTGTACGCCTAGCCTTACTCAGGACTTTCCTGAATGCCAATGGCAGCAACTCCTAAGCATGAATATCTCTCTCTCTCTCTCTCTCTCTCTCTCTCTCTCTCTCTCTCTCTGTGTGTGTGTGTGTGTGTGTGTGTGTGTGTGTGTGTAAAATTGAGGACTCAGGGGGACTTGTACTATCACACTAACAACAAACTTTGCCAATGAGCTACACTCACAGCCCCAAGTAATTTTTACTGGTCTATTAAGTTTTTCTCTCTCTCTGTATGTCTCTGTCTCTGTCTCTTTCCCATTCTCTTTTGAGACAGGGTCTCAAAAGCCCTGGGTGGTCTCTAACTCCCTGGATCTGGGGCTGGAGTAATGGCTCAGCAGCTGTTCTTTGTTGTGAGACAGAGCCTCACTATGTAGCCCTGGCTGTCCTGGAACTCACATAGTCCAGGCTGGCCTCCAACTCACAGAGGTCCACCTGCCTCTGCCTCCTGAGTGCTGGGATTAAAATAAAAATATTTGTGTCGTGTGTATGGGCATTTTGCCTGCATGTATGTCCACGCCACATGGGTGCTTGGTGCCCTTAGAGGTCAGTAGAGGGTCTCAGATCCCCTGGAACAGGAGTAACAGCCAGCTGTGAGGTACTATATGGGTTCTGGGCATCAAACCTGGGCCCTCTGAAGGAGTAGTCAGTGCTCTTAACTGCTGAGCCACCTCTCCAGTCTCTTGCAGAGGACTTGGGTTCAATTACCAGCACCCACATGGCAGCTCACAATTGCCTCTAACTCTAGTTCTAGGGCATCTGAGTCCCTTTTCCTGCCTCTGGGGGTACCAGACACATAGTGCACAGACCTACATGCAGACAAAATACCAACACCCACAAAATAAAATAAGAATTAAAATAAAAGCCCTCTATGTATCTGAGTATGACCTTAAGCTTCTGATTCTCTCACCTTCACCTCCTGAGAGTTCAGAGGTTACAGATGTGCACCACCACACACCATTTCATGAGCTGTTGGTCATTGAACCCAGGGCTTCATGCACACCAGACGAGCTCTCTACTGACCGGCTCAGAACGAAAGTCCCTCTATTGGCTTAGTAAATGGAAGGGAAGCCACACATGAGTCTGGATTCAGGGACTAAGATGCTATCCACCCTTGTCTTTGCTCTGGGTGTTGGGGATTATTTTGTAGATAGGCATGTCTGTTTGAGAAGGGAAAATGGCCGGCAAACCTACACGCCATAGCAGGTTGTATGTTCTAACTTAATGTCTATCCAAATGTCCTTACAATGTGAGCAAGTGTCCTTCAGACCACTCCTCTTGGCCTTGTCTCTGGAAAGGTAGAAGGGGCACGTGACCTCTAAGATTGGATCTTAAAAGGTAACATGGCTTCTCCCTGATTCTCTCGCTCCAGTGGCATGTAGCCATTTGAACCAGCAGCCCTGTGACACGGGTGAGTGTGAGGACGGGGTGTGAGTCCACACTAGGGTCTGTAGTGAGACCACAGGAGAGGGCCTGATGAGACCCCCTGGGCAGCCAGTACCAACTGCAGGGTGCACAGGACACCAGCCCAACCTCAGACAGTCCCAGCCTTCAGATCTGCACCCCCAGTCCCCATCCGCATGGTGCAGAGCAGAAAGTTCACAACATGGCTTCATCCCAACCTACAGAGCCAGGGTTGTCCTAGCTTTGGAGTAGTTTGTCATGCAGCCATCATGACTATGACATCTCCCTTGGTTCCTACAGCTCAATATCCCAGCAGAGGAGGCAAGTCTGCAGGTTGCCCATAGCCACAAGGCCGTGCCTAGTCAAATTCCCTTCTGGTTCAGGGCCTTTGATGGTTGATCTTGACTGTCAACTAGACTGGACTGAGAAGAGCTGGCGGGGGGGAGGGGGGGTGGCAACACACCAGTGTGTCTGGGAGAGTGTGGGGAGCCCTGAAATATTGGTGGTACCATCCCATAGGCTGAGAGCCTGGATGGAATGGAACCGGGGGGGGGGGGGGGGGGGGGGGGCAGGGGGGGAGAGGAAACCGCTAAGGATTGCAGATGCACACACTCTCTCTCTCCTCTCCCTGGCCCTTTCCTTCTCCTCTCCCTTCTCATTCCTTCTCCTCTCCTTCACATTCTCTCTCCTCCGTAGTATGAGTCAATCTTACAACACCCTCCCTACCCTCACAGACTGGAGCCTCAGACACAAAAACGCTGAAACCAGTTTTTTCTCCCTTCCGTTATTAAGGCCTCAAGCCTAGACAATCCCTGTGGTCAGAGGGATGGCACACTCTAGCTAGCTGCCCAGGCTGGGTCACAAGTGGCCCCCTGTCCTGACGAACGGTGGGGGCAAAAAGAGTCTCCACCTCAGCAGGCTTACGAGGAACTGGCCGGGGGGCTCCTTGGGGGGCAGCGGGGATGTCTGTTAGGGGGAGGGAGGTCAGGGCCCATTATAGCACAGGAAGGCATGTCTGGGCTGCCTAGCAAAGCGACGTTTTAGCTATTGGGGGTGTAGGTATGGGGGAGGGGAATGCAGGAGAGTGAGAATTGTATTTTTTTCCTGCCCTAGCCAGACAGGGTGCTGACGTCCAGGCTCTGGGCTCAGCCTTGAGTTAGGCATTTGATCCACACCCCTGTTTAGTCAGCCTGCTGCCCTCAGAGGACAGGGACAGCCCCCAGGGTGGCATGGAGACAGAAAGGTGTGGGTTCATCCACACTGCTGCTGGAACAAAGACCAAACTAACAGCGGCTTCTAGACAAGAGCAGATCATTGCCTAGGAAACAGGCAAGGACTAAGGAATTCTAGCCAACAGGCCTCTCTGGGCTTTGTGTTCATCTTCTTGCCTGCCAACCCTAACATGGGGTTGGTACCCTAAGACCTATGCTGCATGCCTCTGCTCCTACCATCACATCTACATTCCAGCCGCACAAAGGGAAGGGAAATGAATGGGAACTGTCTTCCTTATAAAGGAGGATGCCTAGAAGGTTCCCCCTCTTCTGATTATATCCAGTTGGTTAAAACTGTATCACATGGCCACATGTAACTGCAAGGGAGGCTGGGACATGTAGTTTTTAGTGAGTGATCACGTGCCACACTGAAGATTAAGGGTTCAATGTTAAAAGATGGTGGGAAGAATGGACACTGGACATTCTGCGCTGGCTAGCTGGCAAGCTCCGTAGTGAGGTACAGACAAACAGTGCCAACAGACTCAGGTCTAGAGGTGTCATATTGGCTCTCCCTTGGAACAGCTACATTACTTCAGCCTCGCATTCCTTATCTGGGACGCAAGGTGCTGTTAACACCAGATCTCCCCAACTCTCATACTGCACTTTAACGTCTCTAAAGTTAAGATATGTTTACAAGCAATGACATGTTTGAAGGACAGTTTTAGTCATTCTTAAATAATCTATACCAGTGTATCATGCAAGTTAATGGAACCTGATATTCAATGACCTGCAGTTCAGTTGTTGGGAGGGTAACTTCGTCAGTGGAGTTCACATCTCCTATGCATTGATAAAGCTATTAACGCAGAGGCCTGAGAGACAGCTCAGTAGTTAAGAGAGATTCCTGCTCTTGCTGAGGACCAGAATTCAATTCCTAGTACCTACATCAGGTGGCTCACATCAATTGTAACTCCAGCTCAGAGGGATTTGATGCCCTCTTTTGGCCTCTAAGGGCACTGAACTCATTTGTACGTATGCACAAATGAAAATAAGTTTTTATTTTCCAAGACAGGGTTTCTCTGTGTAACAGCCCTGGCTGTCCTGGAACTCACTCTGTAGGCCAGGCTGACCTCGAACTCACAGAGATCCGCCTGGCTCTGCCCCCTGTGTGCTGGGACTGCGACTAAAGGCATACGCCACCGCTGCCAGACATACCTTCTTGTTTTCCATCATATAGCTTAGGTGAGCTTCCCATGTCTGCCATAACAGATAACCAAGGAGAACCCTACAAGAATGTGTTTCCTGAAGTGTCTGATTGCACAGCCTCGAGACTAAGTGTGGGCAGCTGCCCTCTTCTGACAGCTCCATGGAGAACTGGCCTTGCCTTCCCAGCTCCTGGTAGCTCCTCAAGTCCTTGGGGTCCCTTAGTTTGGACTATACCACCCCAGCCTGTGTCTTCGTCTTCACATGGCTTTCCTTATGTGTCCCTCTGACCTCTGCTCTTCTTACTAAGACACTCCTTGTCATATCCAGGATCCCCAGATCCAGCCTGACTTTACCCCAATTAACTCCATCAACAGAGAACCTATTTCCAAGCAAAACAACATGCTGTGGTTATGGATGCCTGCGGGTTTTTGGAGGACACTGTGCAGCCCTGAGTGCCCCCTCTTTTGCGGTGGACCTGGCTCTGTTTGGGTGAGTCTCCTTCCCCTCTCTCCCCCTCCTACCCCCCCCCCACTTCCCTGGCACATCTGAGGGTTCTGCAAGGCGTCTCTGACACCAGCCGTCATGAACGGTCTGTTCTGCACTGGCGGAAAGGCAGCGCCCAGCCAGCCCTTCTGGGCTGCTGCTAGAGAGCATGTTAGCAGAAGGGGACGAGCCCCGGGAACATCAGCAGAGCCTGTCACGAGGCTCGAACCACACGAGCACGTGGGAATCTGTTACCAGACACTTCCTTGGAGCTCTGGTTCTTATTTTATTTTTCCCTTCCAGTAAAACAACGACGACGAAGCATTCCGGTTAAGCATGTAACTTGTCAAGGCATAAAGATTGCCTAAGAAAGACTTTCAGTCCGGGATATCAGCATCACCCTTTTGAAGGGAAAAAGGAAATAAACAGGGAAAACAAGCAGCTGAAGGTCACGTGTGAAGTTGTCTCACAAGGCAACCGAGGAGACGTCTCCTGAGCTTCAGAGCCAGGTGTGACAGTGTTCACCTGTCTCAGCACCCAGAGAGTGGAGACGGGGGTTGTGGGTTCCACCCCAGCCTGGGCAAATAGGGAGACCCTGTTTTTTTTTTGTTTGTTTGTTTTTGTTTGTTTGTTTGTTTTGTCTTTCTAAGATTTCTTTATTTTATGTGTATGAATATTTTTTTAATTTTATTTATTTTATTTTACAATACCATTCAGTTCTACATATCAGCCACGGGTTCCCCTATTCTCCCCCCTCCCACCCCCTCCCCTTGCCCCCAGCCCACCCCCCCATTCCCACCTCCTCCAGGGCAAATCCTCCCCGAGGACTGCAATCAACCTGGTAGACTCAGTCCAGGCAGGTCCAGTCCCCTCCTCCCAGACTGAGCCAAGTGTCCCTGCATAAGCTCCAGGTTTCAAACAGCCAACTCATGCACTGAGCACAGGACTTGGTCCCACTGCCTAGTTGCCTCCCAAACTGATCAAGCCAATCAACTGTCTCACCTATTCAGAGGGCCTGATCCAGCTGGGGGGAGACCCTGTTTTGAAAAACTGGCATGGGACCAGGCACAGTGGCGCACGCCTTTAATCCTAGCACTCAGGAGGCAGAGGCAGGTGACTCTGTGAGGTTGAGGCCATTTACAATGAGACCTTGTCTTAAAGAAAACAAAACCGGACATCGGCGAAGAGTCCTCAGGGCCGGAGACGTCTGCCGGCTGTGAGATGCACGTTGCTCTTCCACAGAGTGCATGAGCTACAAGAGCCCCGCACACTTTGCTCTACTAAGTCAAGGAAAACGTTTGTTTGTTTGTTTCTGCGATCCAGTTTCATTATGTTCTGAAAGCTGGAAGGAATTAAATTACCTGTCTCAGCAGCTCCTAGAACCACATTGACCCAATGGCATTAAAGCTTTGTAAAATTGCATTGTGTGTGTGTGTGTGTGTGTATGTGTGTGTGTGTGTGTGTGTGTGTGTTTGTGTGTGTTTGTGAGTGTAAGTCAGAGGACAACTTGGGTCCTCTGGAAGAGCAACACGTGCTCTTAACCAATGAACCATCTGTCCATCCCTCCTACCCCACCATGGCTTTTGAAAATACTCAAGATGATGCTTTAATTATTTTGAAATGAAATTCACAAAAAAATATATATCTCTGGGACTACAGAGATGGCTCCTCAGTTAAGAGCACTGGCTGCTCTTCCAGAAGATTCAGGTTCGATTCCCAGCATCCACATGGCAGCTCCTAACCATCTTTAACTCTAGTCCCAGAAGATCCAATGCCCTCTTCTGGCCTCCAAGGACACTGAATGTACATGCGGGCAAAACCACCCATGCACATAAAAATAAATGTTAAAAAAACAAAACAACACTTCCCTTACACACTAAGAGAAATGCAGTGCCCCATGTGTACCTTAAAGAACAGTAATAATGAAATGACAGGAATTTACAGACGTATCTAGGTCTGGCCTCTCAGACAACTTGGCGGATGCTTGTGACCCAGTCGATCATCCTGGTGTGTGTGTCACGTGGAGACCCAGAGACCACGGCAGCCTTGCAGCAAGACAAAGCTAGAGGGTCAGTAAATTTCCAGGCAGAGGAAAGGAGTTCCCATGATGACATGGCGGGCACCTTCCTAGAACATCCAAGCTGTGTGACAACTTTGGAAAAAACAAACAGAAAGCCAAATCCTTCCAGACCCTTGAACGTTTGATTGCTGGAGGGTCTGGTGGGACATGGGAAAATGGGGAGACTGCAAGTCTCCAGGATGCCCCCAGGGGGCAGCACCGATGCCCCCAATGAGGACCATAGATCTTTGCTGTGTGTGTGTGTGTGTGTGTGTGTGTGTGTGTGTGTGTGTGTGTGTGTACATCTGTGGAAGTCAGAGGTCAATGCCAAGTGTCTTCTGTCACTTCTCCACCTGTGTTTTGACACAGGGTCTTTCACTGAACCTGTAGCTTAGCATTGTGTCTAGACTGGCTGATCCGCAAGCTCCAAGCCCCAGGCGTCTTCCTGTCTCCACCCCCACATCACCGGGATTAAAGGTGTGCACCACCACACCTGACTTTTGCGTAGGCGGTAGGATCCAAACTCAGATCCTCACGCCTATGAGCCATCTCCCCCAATCTGTCATTTTGAGACAAAGCCTCTGTATGCAGCTCAGGCTAGCCTGTAGCTCCCCATTTAGACCAGTCTAATATTGAGGTAGTTGACCTGCCTCTTGTCTACTAAGCACTGGGATTACAGGTGTGCAACCTCGTCCTTGGCTGCTCTCTCTCTCTCTCTCTCTCTCTCTCTCTCTCTCTCTCCCTCCCTCCCTCCCTCCCTCCCTCCCTCTCTCTCTAGGTCTCAAAGATAACCCAGACTGGCTTTGACAGGCATGCACCATCATGCATGGTTTGTGCTGTGCTGGGAATTGAACCAAGACTTTGTGCATGCTAGCCAAGCATTCTACCCACTGAGCCACACCCCAGCTCTTATCTGGTCATTTGAAAAATATGTTATGTGTTGATGCATGTATGTCTGTGTACTATATGCATGCTTGGTGCCCAAGGGGGCCAGGAGAAGGCATTTGATCCCCTGGGACTGGAGTTACAGACAGTTGTGACCTGCCATGTGGGTGCTGGGAATTGAACCCCAGGTCCTTTAGAAGAACAGCAAGTGCTCTTAACCACTGAGCCACCTCTACAGCCCCTGGTCTGGTCCTTTATTTTTTTTGTTTTTTGAGACAGGGTTTCCCTCATGTAGCCCTGCCTCTACCACCCAAGTGCTAGGATTAAAGGCATGTGCTGCCACACCCAGCCCTCTGGTCATTTTTAAAATTCAGCCAAATGAAGCTGAAAGCGAGACTAAGGCAGAACACACCTCTCACAGTTGCTGGCACGATGGTGACACAAGGGACCGGGGTACTGCCATCTTAGCACTGGCTCCTTCCCCTTGGTACCTGGTTTCTGTTTTCCTGCCAAGGGAAACACAGAACTTCTAGGCTGCGTAGCCTTGTGAACTAGCATGCTGGCAGGAGGAAGAAGGACTCCTCCAGGGATCTCCACCCCATTTTACAGAGAAGCGGCCGGACTGTACCGGGAATCAGATGGGCCTACGTTCACGCCAGCTCTCCCATCGGAGAGCTGTCTGCCCATGAGTAAGTCACTCAGGCATGAACATGTACAGACTTGGGTCTGGGTCCCCACTCCATATGTCACTGTGCACCATGACCTCTCTGACTTTCGTTTTCTCTCCTGTCACAGAGGGCTGTGGGATAGAGACAGTATTTGGAAGTGCTTGGCACTCGGGGTGAAGAGTGTTTGGCCTCTCACTTGCCTGAAGCAACCCTTCAATGCCTCAGTCATTCCAGCCAGGATGTCCTACTCCCTCAGTTCCGAAGACAGAGTCAGTGAGTTGGCCAGGGCTGCAGTAGCTTGCTGGTAGGGCTCCTGAGAGCCAACTGCATCTGTTCGGTGCTCCACTCTAGGAGCCCGGAATCAAGCAATCTACATTTAAAGAGTCACAGATCTTCAATCACAGCTCGCTCCACCTGTCCCTCCAGACAATTAGGTATTAAGTGCATATCAGCACACCACAACTCTTAGTGTGTCTGTCAAGCTGCCTGGAGCCCGAGAGGGTCAGGCAGGACTGTGGTGATATTTTATTTGTACTGAAATGTTATTTTAATTTTATGTTAATAAATAAAGTTGCCCTGGGGTCAGAGCTATTAGAGCCATAGTAAGAGCATGGTGGTTAGAAGAGCTAGGTAGATTTCTGTGTGTTCAGGGATACAGCCAGTATTAGAGACATACGCCTTTAAGACCTGGAGGGCGGTACTTACAGGCAGTGATGAGGCAGTCATGTGGTTGGGTTTACAACCAATGAGAAGGCAGAACAGAAAGATTATTTAAACAGGGACACAGGAAGTACCTCCCTCTCTCGGGGAAGCTAGGAGCACTGCAGGAGGTAAGATTTTATCTCTGAGCTCTGACCTCTCGGCTTTTCTCTTTTACCTTGGCTCTGTGTTTCTTATTTTAATAATACGATTGGTTACATCTACACAGGACAATCCAGGTTAAGTCACATTCAGCTTAGTGCCTCAGGCTCTACCACACTTCAGTTGACCAGGCTGCCTTCCTCATCCAGTATCGGAGAGCTATGTGCTTGCTGACCCCTCCCTCTCAACAGACCCTGAGAGAGTCTGCATGGTGTGGGGAGTGCTGGAGAAAACTTCCTCCCTAGTGGAAGGGATGTAGAGGAAGAAACAACCCCTCTTTGGGGACATTTTCATGCACATACATATGTCAGCATTGCAGAAGTTATTATGCTACACACTCAGATCCTTTTTGGCCAAATGACCTGTTATTTTTAGCTCTGAGGGTACAGACTCAGAAGCCAATGGGAGGAGGGGGAACAAGGGAAGGACTCCAAGGGAATAGTGGGAGGCACAGAAGTAAGCCAGCCAAACGAAAGCAGAAGGTGAGGGCAGGACTATGCCTCAGCAGACAGTGGCAGAGGAACCAGAGACGCTCACAGCTGGAACCTGCCCAAAGTCACCCATAAAGCAAGCAAGCCGGAGAGGTCCTGCATCAGTAGTGGAGCGGACTGGTAACTTGAAGTCTTCCCACAGGAAGCCTGGAGCTTTCGAGGCTCACAGCTCCTGACAACACATAGCTCAGCACAGATCTTTCCTCCCAGGGTCCAGAAAAGAAGGGCCATTCTCAATTTATCCCCTGAAGCCAGTGTCCCCTGATACCAGAACCTGACAAGAATGGTGTAGGAAGGCAGGGTTATCCGCCCAAACCACCGGCCAAAAGGGACACAAGAGAGGACTGGGAAGGCGACTCAGGTGGTAAAGTACTTGCTACGCAAGCATGGGAATCAGATTCCAGGTCCCCAGGAGCACTCTGTGGTGGCAGAGACAGGAGGGTCTCCCGCTGCCCAGCCTAATCCAATCAGTCCCATAAAATAAGGTGGGGAGCGATTGAGGAACGCGCCCAACCTTGACCTCTGGCATCTACATGCACACACACACACACACTTGTGCTCACATGTATACACACACACACACACACACACACACACGTCTTTTAAAAAGTTGATTGTATAGGAGAAACGCTATTAGAAATTATAAAAGAACTTCACAAGGTTGTGTCCATGTCCGGTTATTACTAAGCTAAACGCCAGGAGACAAAGCTGAACGGAGTAGAGCTGGATGAACGCCCTGGTGTACTGCTGCAAGGGTGGAGCCCGAGCCAGGCACGGTGGTGCAAAGCTTCAGGACTGATGTGAGTTCAAGGCCAGCCTGGGCTACGGAGGGTGCCCTCGGGTTTTGTTTGAGTTTTAATGCTGGCAGGTTGGCTCTGCGGGTAAAGGCATTTGTTGCCTATGTTTGATCCATGGAACCCAAATGGTGGAAGGAGAGAACCAACTCCCACGAGTGGCCTCTGACGTCCACACATGCATCACGGCACACACGTCCGTCCACCCACATGTCTTACACACACTAATAATCTCATTTAATAAAACGAAAACAAAGTCCCTCTCAGAGCCACATTCCCAGAGCGACATCTATCAAAGGCCAGCCCTGGTCCAGGAATGGGGGTCACTGCCTGCCCTGGGCTCTACCAGAGTAGAGAGCAGGCTGGGGGGGGGGAGCCCTTCATGGCTTTTCCCCTCTCTGACCCTTAGCTATTCTCTCAGCACCTCCTGAGGTTGGATTCCATATCTACAAAGCAGAGACACCCTCTGCTGGCCGGGCCCTGCTCAGGCCCCAGCGCGGCAGGCACTTCAGTGCTGATCTCTCCTCGGCCTCTTGTTTTTTTCTCATTTTCAGAAGGAAAGGCTCTGATGGAGAGGCCTCTCCTCCTCCGGCTCATCTGCCATTTTTCACTAGTGATTGATGCCGAACAAACCGCTCCAGATCTGGTGGCTGGGACATCCCCTCTTAGGACCTATCCTGCGATGCCACATAGAGCCGCCTCAGTCACTGTCTAGGCCCTCTCAGACCTGGTGAAAGCAACCGACTGGAGTTCCTAATCGGAGAAAGAAGAGGTCGGAATCTCGGTGTGGGTGGAGGGGCAATAGGGTTTGCTCTCCTGAACCCCCAGCTCACCCTTTTCGGTCATTCTACTTTCTACAGAGGTGACCTGCCACAGTGCACTGTCACCTTGACCTCAGTGGTCATTTGGAGGTGGGCCTATGGCCCAACCAGCCTCAGCCAGTCTGGCCAGCCCAGCTTCCCAGCCTGGGGTGGTCAACCTGCAGCAGCAACAGACAGCATGGTCAGGCTGGTAAGGGCCGTTCTTGGTGTGTTAATGTCTGCTTTCCAGAGGAAGGGAAGGAGAGAGCGCCCCCTGGTGTCTTCTGTTACAAGGGCACTAATCTCATCCTGAGGGCCCTGCCTCATGGCCTCACCTGACCTTTTTACATCCCCAAATTTGTATCTGTGTTTTCATCTATCACCTGGTATGTGGGTCTAACCTGGTATGTGGGTCTAACCTGGGGTTCTCCAGCCTAGCTGCCTCCCAGCCCTTGTGGCAAGCTGAATACAGCCTCCTGAACCCCGCGGGGAAACTTGGTATTGGAAGGGGATTCTTGGGTTTTTGTTGTTGTGCTTTTGTTTTGTTTTGTTCTATTTTTTCCCCTTTGAAGCAGGGCCTCATGAAGCCCAGGCTGTCCTCGAACTCATTATGTATCTGAAGCCTTGAACTCCTGATCCTTCTGCCTGTACTTGGCCAAATACTGGGCTTACAGCTGTGCGCTACCACACCTGGTTTTTACTTATCATCATTGTGTATGTGTGCATGATAAGGGAGTATATGTGTGCCATAGTGTACATATGGAGGTTGTTAGGTTTCAAACCAGGGACACATGGCTAACTGAGGTACCTATTTAACATACCAAAATGGACCCAGCTGCCAGGTTCTGCCAGCCTCCCTCAGTCCTTACCTGTTACAGGATATGGCTGCTATACTCTGCCCACTACCATAAACTTCTCCAGCCCAGGGACTGGGCTGCCCTTCCCTATGTAATGCAGCCATTTTGGAAGACTAATTGCCTGGTCTCTTGGTTGTCCCCTCTCCTCTTCTCCTGGCCTCACATGGACTGGCTCAGGGTCATGTCTACTCTGGACTCTCTTAGAGGTCTCTGCCTCTGGCTATGTTCTCTCTCATAGCTACAGTAAACCTTCTCCTTCCCCGTACTTAGGGGCATCATGTCCTTCTTTTTTGTAATTTCTTTTTTCATGCAGAGACCAGAGGATAACTTTTGAGAGTTAGCTCTCTCTTTCTCCCATGGGACCAAACTCAGGTCGTTGAAACAGCACAGCAAGAACTGTTGCTCACTGAGACATCTCCTCAGACCTGGAATCTGTTGTCATTTGAAGAAAATGTTCCTGATATTTGGGAAACGTCAACTGAAGGAAAACTCAGGACTCACTGGGATCCCCCAGCCACAGACACTCCAAAGCCAGGGACATCTCTGCCTTCTGGATCTTCTGAGTGTTTGGCTAACAAGGCCCCTGTCACCAAGCTGACATCCAAGTGACCTCAGAGTCCCTTCTCAAGACACAAAAGTCTTTCAAGTCAAAATCGAGTGCAGCATCCAGGCCTGTTCTGCTGCTTAAAGACGGGGTGCTCCCTCAGTTAGCAGCTGTGAGTTGCTTATGACACTTGACATTTGACCTTCTCAGGGGGTCAGCCTTTATGTAGCCACACTTGCCTGCCCAAGCAGGGACAGTAGGTGTCCAAAGCTTGGTGATTGGCCTTCACCTAGTATAGGAGGAACGTGCAGGGCTTGCCTTTTTTTTTTAACTTCTTTTTTTTATGTGTGTGTGTGCTTTGTCTGCATGTAAATCTGTGTACCCTTGCATGTCTACTGTCCAGAAGAGGACATTGGATCCCTTGGAACTGGAGTTACAGACATTTGTGAGTTATCGTGTGTGTGTGTGTGTGTGTGTGTGTGTGTGTGTGTGTGTGTGTGTGTGTCTGTGTGCTGGGAATTGAACCCGGGTTCTCTGGTAGAACAGCCAGTGCTCATTTTTTGTTTTTGTTAGTTTCTTAGACAGGGTTTCTTTATGTAACCTTGGTTGTCCTAGAACCAGCTCTGTAGACAACTCACAGAGATCCACCTGCCTCTGCCTCCCGAGTGCTAGGATTAAAGGCATGCACCAGCCAGGCAGTGGTGGCACGTGCCTTTAATCCCAGCACTTGGGAGGCAGAGCCAGGCGAATCTTTGTGAGTTCGAGTCCAGCCTGGTCTACAAAGTGAGATCCAGGACAGGCTCCAAAGCTATACAGAGAAACCCTGTCTTGAAAAAAAAAAAAAAAAAGGCATGCACCACCACTGCCTGGCTCAAACAGTCCTCACAAGCCAGCTCTCCAATCCCTTGCCTTTTATTTTTATTTATTTACTTACCCAGGCTGGCCTCGAACTCACAGAGATCCTCCTGCCCCTGCCCCCCCTGCGCCCCCAGTGCTGGAATTAAAGGCGTGTGCCACCACCGCCGGGCTTACATACCTATTTTTAAGATGGGGTCAAAATGTATATTAGAGGATGACCTTGAACTTCTGATCCTTCTGTCTAGTGCTAGGATATGGTGTGTGCCACTGTATCTGTGTGGTGCTGGGGATGGAACCCAGGGCTTGTGCATGTTGAGCAAGCACTCTACCTAGGGACCTTTCCCCCCTATCTTTCTCCCCTTTCTCTGAGCTTCCAGCTGCTCCTCCCTGTGCTCTCAGACTCAGCACCAGGCAGCTCTGCCCTCATCTCTCTGGAACTGATTCCCCAGCTGCCCTTTGCGGTCCAGAGCTCTAACATCCCAGGAGCTTGTGCTGAGCCACGGGAAGGTCCTCCTTAGGAAGCCAGTGGGACACCTGGCCAGCACACTGAGCCTTCAGGTTGGGCTGCAACACCCTTGCCCCCGCTTAAGGCGGTCTCCTCTGATCTGTGAGCTGCATCCCTGAAAGTCAACTCCAGTTGCTTCAGGATGAAAAGACCCAGCCAGCCAGGGCAGAGCCTGAGCTGATCTCTCAGGCCAAGACCTCACTTCCGCTTCCCTGTTGTGGCACTGGCCACCAAGAACCTGCCAGCAGAGCCCACCTCACTCACATCACCCTGGCCGATCTAGAAATTATTTATAGACCTGAACTCCACAGAAACCATTGTCTGCTGTTGCCATGGCAACAGGGATATGAGATGCAGCAGGCTCCCAGGGACTGGTGGAGACCTTGATGATGGTCGATTTCTACCCAGGAGGCCTGGGCTCATAGCCACCATCAGAGAGGCCTGGGGTGGAGCTCCCCCAACACCTCAGGTATTGAGAGCTTGTTAGTTGTTGGATTTTGTTTATATCTATCCATGAAACTG